TATGTGCGGAATTTTGAACATTTCTACAATGTTATCAGCACAACAGTCAACATCAGAGTATTAGAGTAAATCCCCATGCAGACGGAAAAGCGAAACGGGTCAGTAACGGAATCATTGTTATGATAAGTATTTTACGAGTATATATGTGTCATATTACTATAGAAAATAAAACTTTTATATTTTGCATTTTACCTGTTTGAAAATAATTTTAATGGATTAATGATTTTTTGCGATTAAAATGATACCAGACATGACATAAAACTGATAATTTTTAGTTAAATACGTAATCAAAATTTTGATTATTAGTTTAATTAAAAATTATCCAATTTATGTTGTGTTTGATACCATTTTAATCGTAAAAATCTCATTAATTCATTAACATTATTCTCAATCAAAATACAAGTAAGAATCTTTCTTAAAGTAAGAATCAAAGTGACAGAAATCGAAATTATAAATTATCGTTTTGTTGCGATCCTTACGAACAATAACTATTTTTCTATCGATACTTAAAGTAAAGATATTTTGTCCCATGCTTTATCATACGACTTTTTGATTATTTAAATATAATTTAGATTGAGAACGCGCAATTAAACAATCAAACCGCAGGATTGAGTAATTAATATAACGATAAGCTCGGTGATATATTAATCGTTTATTAAATAATTGATCTATAATTTAAAATATTTGTATAATTTAATATTCCGCTTGTATATATATACGTCATAGTACGCAAGATATTTTCGACTGCGAATTATTAACATGGTATTCGGCCTTGGCGGCGTAAACATTAACGCGCTATTGTTTACGTGTTACGACTTATGGCTTTATCATTCGCACGGCGACACTCGAACAGTAATATAATAATGCGAGACGTCAAATTTCTTTTCTAAACATGATCGCGACAAGTATCGGGAAATAATTTGATATAATTAATAATTAATTCTTTCTCTTTCTTTTACTCTCTAGACAACAATTATTTAAAAATACTTAAAATTAAATATATTTCGTCCGATGTTTTTTCGTTTGACTTCTCGACGATCTAAATATGATTCGGATTGAGAACGCGCAATAAAATAGTCTAATCGCAGATCCGAGTAATTAACATAACGATAAGCTCCGTAATATATTAATCATTTTAAATTCGTTTTATTAAATAATCGATCTATAATTTAAAATACTTGTATAATTTAATATTCCGTTTGTATATACGTCATAATACGGAAAATATTTCGGCAGCAAATTATCAATAACATAGTATTCGGCCTTGGTGGCGTAAACATTGACGCGCGTAAACACTGTTTACGTATCACAGCTTTGTTATTATTCATACGAAGACACTTGAATAGAACTGTAGTGGGGCGAGACGCTCAAATTCCTTTCCTACGTATTATTATTATTTGCATGATTTAAACAAGCGCGCTAATGTTTACGTGCTTCGGCCTTGTTATCATTCGCACGACGACACTCGAGCAATAAAGTAATAATGCCGCGGATGGCTCGTC